TTTATTTGTGGTTCTCCCAATAATACAGGGATTTCGTAAAAATTACTATCTCACCTTATTGTTTCTAGTACTTCAATTTGGTTTGTTTATAAGTTATATATGAATAAATTGAACATCATCCACCAGAAGTATCAACAATTATGAGTTGAATATTGTAAAATATAACCATATTAAGCAAAATTTAAAAGCCTACAATTAATTTTGTCGATAAACACGATACTTCCTTCATCAACTAACGGATTATTTACTGGTATTAAACACACATTTTTATTTACAGCTACAATCAATGCAATATTAGTAAATCTGAACGGTCTAGTGTGTATGAAACAATAATAAAAGACTAATCCGTATATTTTAACAGCACAATAATCAAAAATTTTGTCGAAATGTTTCGGTCGGAGGGGTCGGATGCTTGTCGGGCGACGAGATTTAGTTAGGTTAAGGTCTTACTGGCCTTACTCTTCTTTATTTTGAAAAAGGCGTTTACTGCATTAAGGATGATTTAATATCGATTTTTTATTGAGCAGAACTGGTGCAGATCGAAACATTTGAAAAAACAATTTTTTGTAATTAGATATGTGTATCTGGAAACTTTCTATTCTTTTCTGGTTTTTCTATATAAGGTATTCATTTTTGACAAATTTTATGTCAATTCTCAGTAACTGACGTCTAGAGTTCTATCTCGTCAAAAATAGCATCGATAGTCATTCCTAAGCCGCCTTTGACGCCGTTTTTTCTCGATCATACGGTATAATACATTCAGAACATCTAAACGGTCGTAAATTCAACAATATCTATAAGGTCACGGTGATTAATTTCCCCCCTCCTGAAAAATCTACAATCTACAATCTTACTAGAAACTATGACTTGACAACGCTGTTCCATAATGATAAACCGGAGCAACACCATTCTTGAGTTACTGGCGTCAAAATTAACATAGCGTAGCGTGAAAGCAGGCTGTAAAGCGGAGGGGAAAAATTGCCGTCTTGCGTTTCCCCGTCATTATAGAGTATGCACCCTTATGGCCGCGGCTCGAATTTATTGAATGGCCTTTATTAAACATTAAGTAGCGAAAACCGAGCGGGGCATGTTAAGAGGAAATTGAATTTTTCAGATTGCGAGGAGAAGCAAATTGTGTTCGGCTTTTAAGTCGACATTCTCTTAAATTTGTCCTGATTGATTTAATTTGTGTGTAATAGCAAACGTTAGATCTGTTTATATATTAACTAGCGTGTACCAGCGACTTCGTTCGCGTCGAATTAATCATTTGTAATGGTGATGATAAAGCAAAGCAAGAATTTCCATTAACATACAAACTGGATAAAACTTTCTCACATTTATGTCAGCATGAGAAAAAACAATATGGCGATATTATTATATAACATGGTAATATTTGAGGGGTAGTTTCATCTCGTTGGAATTTGACTTTCGAAAAATCCGTTTGCCAAAAATAAGCTTTTTACGTCAAGCAGTTTAAGCAGAATCGTGGTTTGGTTTGGTTTGGATCAATTACCCAACTTTTTGAAACACCCTGTATGATTTTTTAAAAAAATTCAAAATATGTAAAAAACCAAAATAAATTATGCGTGTCCAAGCGTTTTCCTGAAAGACTAACCGTTTTTTAAATAACAAATATTGTAATATTTGAGGGGCGTTTTTATCCTCTTGGAATTTGAGATTCGAGAAACCCCTCTTTATCGAACCTCTACACCCCACAGTCAATCCTTTTGCCAAAAATCAGCTTTAAACGTCAAGCAGTTTAAGCAGAATCGTGATTACTCAGTGGTCATATTTTATGAAACATTCTGTATAAATTTTAAAAAATCTTAAAATATGTAAAATAACAAAATAAAATATACGTGTTTAAGAGTTTTTCCGAAAGAAGAGGTGTTTAAGAGTTTTTCCGAAAAACTCACCGGTTTTTAAATAAAAAATATTCTAATATTTGAGGGGTGGTTTCACCCCCTTATAATATATATTTTTATCGAACCTCTACACCCTAAAGTCAATCCGTTTTCCAGAAATCAGCTTTTACGTCAAGCTCTTTAAGCGCGATCGTGATTAATCAACGATCAGATTTTTCGAAACACCCAGTATACATTTTTAAAAAATCTTAAAATATGTACAAAACAAAATAAAATATACGTGCTTAAGCGTTTTTTCGGAAACTTGACCGTTTTTTAAATAAAAAATATTGTAATATTTGAGGGGTGGTTTCACCCCCTTGGAACTGGAATTTCGAAAAACCCCTTCTTATCTTTTACCTCTACACCCTAGAATCAACATTTATGCCAACATTGAGCTTCTTACGTTGAGTGGTTTGAGCAGGATCATGATTAATCAGTATGTCAGTCACTTAAGGATTTTATATATTAGTATAGATTTTGAGAACCATGATATCGAACAATCCACTAACTAGATCAAAATCGTTCTGCTTCGAAAGTGAAAACTAATTTAAAGCCCAACTCAAGAACTTGGAGGACTCCGTCTATAATCTGGAAAGGGCATCCTCCAACGGTCTAAGACACTTGAAGACATTTCTCAGGGCTTATGACCGAAAAAAAGGTTTATATTGTTTTCAGTAAGAACAATCTTCGGTTAGGTTGTTTTTTTCACTGTTTTTTTTAACAGGACACTTTCTCTTCAATGAACACCTCAGTAGAATGAAGCTAAGAAAGAACGCCAAATGTGGATTCTCTGGGGAATATGGGGAAACATTCCTGTCATAAACTTTGGTACGCCTTTTATCGGAGATGGAGAACTAACCTCTGTGAAACCGTCTCTACTAAGACTGCTGTAGAAAATCTATATAAAAGAAAGGTTTCTCGATGAACTTTCTTGTTCGAAAGAGAATATTACACAATACTCACATTCTGGTACACAAGACAAGTTTATACTGATCAAATAAAACATTTTTTTAAAAATACTTCCACTTTTTTCTAGTTAGAAACAAAGGAAACGAAAGAAAAAAGTTACAAAAAGCAAAGATCTGGATGCGCCACTGGAACTTCGCGATGACGCATCCCCCAGAGGCATTCCTGCTATCCAGACATCTCGTTCCTGAATCCCGCAGGTCGTCGCCGAACCTGAGAAGGACGTCCAGTGCGTGTGACTTTGGGGCTTACCGCACCACCGACCGGATTGTAAATCAATTAGAGAGGGAAAAATACGCTACGCACGGAAAGTTTACCTAAGGAAGAGAAAATAATCTCCCAAGGTCCTGGAGGAAGTTGATTATTGTTTTTTACGATCTGAATATGATCTGTATACTGATTTATCTCTTTTTGCCTGAGGATAGCGACTTTGGTCTGCACAACGAGTCGCTTACTGTTAAAACAATTACTTATGAAGTAAAGGATAATATACAGGGTGATGAAATTTCGACGGCATATTCTGCAGATAAAAATAAGTAAAAAAGTTCGTATAATAGTATGTCCTAAAATGCTTACTTTCAGAGATACAGGGTGTAGAAGTTTCAGTTTTATTTCGATTTTTTCTAATTAATTTCTGAAGTAACGTCAATATTTGGTTGAAAATTGGTATCTAGGAGTTGTTTGACATGAGAAATTTGATTTTGATGTTACTTAGCAACTTAATATGACTCCTACTTGTAGAGGGCACCACCTACATACTTTTTAACTGGTTTGAAGACTAATAACTTTTCGTCCGTCCTTGTATAAAACTACTGAGTAAAAAAATGAGAGTAATGGTAAATTATCAATACCTGTCATCAATGACATTAATTAAACATGTTGATTAAATATTTATTAGACTGAAATCATAACTTTGAAATGTTTTTGTGCCAAAAATTCAACAGAAATTGTTTTATCATCATTTTTTTGAAGAAAAATCTATGATTAATTTAAAAAAATACAAAGTTTACAAATTTAGCATTTCAGTCAAATAACTATCTAGTGAACATAATTTATTTTTTGTCAATAATGACATGTATTGACTAATTTCATTTTAAATATCTTGAGAATGGTTGTTCTTAGCGATTTTTACCAAGAGACCTTTTTTACGTAGAAAACTTCGTAAATTTATATTTTTTACTCAGTAGTTTTATACAGGTACGAACAAAAAGTTATGACCCTTCAAACCAGTTAAAAAATATGTAGGTGGCGCCCACTACTAATAGGAGTCATATTGACATGAAGATCAAATTTCTCATGTCAAAAATCTCCCAGATACCAATTTTTACCCAAATATTGACGTTACTGCAAAAATTATTTGGAAAAAATTGAAATAAAAATTAAATTTCTACCCCCTGTATCTCCGAAACGAAGCATTTTAGGACATATATCTATACGAACTTTTTTACTTATTTTATCTGCAGAATATGCTGCCAAAATTTCCGGAATACAGTTGGTTGCTAACTAAAGATTTTTTTAGTTTTAATAACTTTAAAAAAATTCAGAACTCTAAAATAAATCATATTAGTGTAATTTTATAGCATATAATATAAAATATAAATTTTATGAAAAAAAAACAAACAAAACCTCTTATTCTTTAAGTAATTTAGCAAAATATATACACACTTTGATAACATACAAATTAATATGCCCTTTCTAATTCTTGAAGAATATAAAAATTATCTGACCTTTATTGATTGAGATAAACAATAAAAGAATATATGATAACATAATATTTTTAATAAAGGATAGTAATTAGTGTATTAGTAATCACCAAATAATGTAACAAATAAAAAAAATATTAAATGCAACAAAAGGTTTCTATAATCGGATAACAATGCAAAATAATCATTCCTATTAAAAAATCAGTATACTTAAAGTAGGTAATAATTAATTTAAGAAATAAAAAAATTAAAATATAAGTGTTTGATTAATTTGAAAACAATAAACAATAATTTCTACAATTATAGTTTTTTTGATTAACAGAAAGAATATATCGTTTCTAATAAAAGATATAATCAGTTAATTTTTAAGTAGGTCATTAAATACATTAAAAAAAATCATTGAAACAAATAAAAGCAACCGCGTTAAGTTTCCGTTTTCATTGGTAATAGAGTTCTAGTTTCGACTCAATTTAAGTCAGTATTGATAAAATATCATGTCTCATATTTCTTCGATTCCAGGCGGGTTACGCGCAGGACTAAACGTAACTATCAAAGGACAGGTTCCAGCAGACTCAGATGACAAGTAAGTACTTATTTAAATAATAAATCTATATTTAACACGTCTTCATCTCAATGTATCTATGTAGTAGTGATCTGCATTACGATTCTTTTTAGTAAATCGAATCACACGAGTAAATTTCTTATATTGAATCGACTCTTATAGACGTTCCGTAAATACGTTTTTTTTTGTATGGGGAAATTAAAATAACTTTGGTTTTACATCATAATACGACCACTAGCAAACTCCATAAGACGACGCATGGTGTCATTGATGACGTGCAACGAAAGATGTTTTAATTTCCCTTTAAACCAACTGAAAGCGGAACTAAAGAATCTGGAAGACTCCAACCGCAACTTGGAATGGGTGTCCCCCAACGGTCTAAGACACTCGAAAAAGTTCCTCAGAACCTACGACCGAGAAAAATCAAAGGTTTTCCTTGATTTAAGTAAAAACAATCTTCGGATTGTCACGGGGTTTCTAACGGGACACTGTCTCCTCAACGAACACCTCAGTAGGCTGAAACTGAGAAACAACGGCGAATGCAGATTCTGTGGGGAATATGGGGAAACACCAGAACACCTCATCACTGAGTGCGCCGAGACGACGACCATTCGTGCCATGAACTTTGGTACGGCTGATGTCAAGGATGGAGAGCTGGCCTGTGTGGAGCCGTCTGAGATACTGGCTTTTGTTAAAGCCTTGAGACTGTATGATCAGTTATAACTCGTTATAACTCAAGAAAGGAGAACACACAATAGATCTTTAAGGTCGCGGTGACTAACTCCGCTCCTAAACATTCTACATTCTACATTCCCTTTAAATATAAATGAATAAATGGAGAAAAAAGAAGCAGAATGGAGACAAAAAAAAACAAATAAGCTAAAGCGAGAGTAATGATATATAAAACAACCCAAGCGTTTCCAACTGACAAAGGAGTATGACAGATATCCCCAAAGCGATATCCCCAAAGCTGTTTACAGCAACACTAGAAGAAATCTTCAGTCAACCGGACTGAACCAACAAAGGATTAAAAGTAGATGGAGAATATCTCAACCATCTAAGATTCGCTGATGACATAGTTTTAATTGCCAATAGCCTTGAAGAACTACAAGCACAAATTAACGAACTAAATACAGCCAGCAATAAAGTGTGTCTCAAAATGGAATTAGCAAAAACTAAAGTAATGTACAACGAACTAGTGGACAGAAAAACATTCTAATATAATAACACAGCAGAGGAAATAGTAGAAGAATACATATATTTGGGACAACTAATACACAGCTCGGGATCTCTACTACCAGAAATCAACAGAAGAATTAAGTTGGCATTGAGTACTTATGGAAGAAACTCAATCATATTCAAATTTAGAAAGCCACTATATCTAAAGAAAAAAACATTCGACCAATGTGTTCTACCAATGATGACATATTGACGTGCAGCGTATTAAAAGTAAAAAATATTGTGCTGGATTGGCGTTGGTTTCTATGTAATTTGACAAATAAATAAAGCTGTCTCTTTAGTTGTCAGTTTTGAGTTAATATTTTTTAATTCTCTTTCGTGTCGATTGCTGATTGAATTGGAGCCAGAAATGACTCAAAACGAAATAAGTAAATTACCAACAGATATTCAGGCTGAGGCGTCAAACGCCATATCCAAACTACTTCCATTTAAATCTCGAATAACTTATGAAAAGGAAGACTTCTTCTTCTTCTTCTTTTAGAAGGCGTATCGCCTGTTTAGTTCCGGTTTCCTCGTCGTCTAAGCAACTCTTGCGAGGTTGACTGCCAACTGTCTTGCCAACGTTTAGGTGGTCGTCCAGTAGGTCTTCTGCCATGGGGTAGGTTGTTGCGAATTATTAAGGCCATTCTGTCGGGGCCCATTCTATTTACATCCTGGTTCCATTCTCTTCTTCTCTGCCATATCCATCTGACAACGTCGTTTGTTTGGCACTTTTCTGTTATGTCTACATATCTCTGTCTGTTCCTCAATGTGCATCCAGTTATCATTCTTAAGGTCTTCATTTCAGTCGTTCGTAGGATTCTCTTTGTTAATGATGTTTCAACTCTGGTTTCCGCACCATATGTTCCGCACCATCACTGGTCGTATGCAGATTTTGTATATTCTTGACTTACATTCTGTACTCAAATGTTTGTTTTTTCATATGGGATATTTAAGATGTCCTGATATTGCGGCAGCTTTATTGGCTTGTTTCCTTACTGCTTCTTCCAGGAATCCTGAGCTTGTAATTTTGCATTCGAGGTATTTTAATGACATTATCTGATCAATAGTTTTGTTTTTTTATTACTAATTTGCACTGTAGAGGCTCCTTTGTAATGGTCATGCATTTGGTCTTTGTGGAAATTCGCATGTTAAGTTTTTCTGCCTGTCTGTTAAAAGCTTCTGGCATTCTTTGGAGGTCGTCCTCTGACTCTGCAATAAGTACTGCGTCATCGGCATAGAATAATATGTTTACTTTATGCATTCCCATTCGATATCCTAATCCAGTATTCTTGACGGTTTTTATTACTTGATCCATGATTGTGTTGAATAACTGTCGCCTTGGCGAATACCAGTTGTAGTTCGAAGATGCTGCGTTAAGGTAAAGTTTGTTCTTATTTGGGTTGTTGTGTTTGTGTTTAAGTCCTTGATAAGTTCTGTGAGTTCTTTCGAGACATTACTGCTTACCAAGATGGTGATGATGTGTTTTAGTTGGATTCTATCAAAGGCCTTTGTTAAATCTATAAAACATAGATAGGCTGGAGAGTTATATTCTAAGGATTTTTCAACTAGTTGCCTGAGTATGAATAGTGCATCGGTAGTTGATCTGTTTCTTCGGAATCCTTGTTGTTCCTCGCTTATGGGTACTATTGAGGAGATTTTGTCCGCAATGGTCTTAGTCAGAAGTTTTAGCGAGGTGCTCAGTAATGTTATTCCTCTATAGTTTGCTGGGTCTGTTTTATCTCCCTTTTTAAAAATGGGTATTGTTATACTTTGTTTCCATTCTTCTGGTATTTTCTTATGTTGTAATATAATGTTAAACAGTTTTGTGTATTCCTCTATGATAGCCGTGCCTGCGTTTTTTATTAGGTCGTTTGGTATTTTATCTTCATTAGGAGATTTTCTATTTTTAAGTTTCCTTATTGTCTCTTCTACTTGCTTGTAAGTGATTGATCTTCTATATTATCTCCTTGGCTTGTCTCTTGTGCTTCCATTGGTTCATCTGTTTCTGCGTATAAGTCTCTGAAATATTTTTCCCACGTATCTTCTGCAATTGTTCTTAGTTGTATTGTTTCATTTGTTTCTCGTTTCAAACCCCTCAACATCTTCCCAATACGTTTTTGTGCTCCGTACATATCCGCCTCCATTTCGCTACTAAATCGCTGCCAATATTCTTCTTTAATTTTTCGTACTCTATTATTAGTCCTGTTCCTTATTTCGGTATAGATATTTCGGTTCTCCGGTGTTGGAGATTTCTTGTATTGTAAGTATTTTTCCTTCTTTTCCCTTGTAATGTTCTGGACTTTAAAAATGTAAGCAATTAAAAACGTGCGAGAAGAAATAAATATTTAATTTACTCTTGCCGTTAAAGTACTATTTTATCTACTATTTTTGATAGATATAAGACAATTTTAACAGTTGCTATGGAAAAAAGTATATTATTTAGTATATGCAATATAAATGTATTTTTTATTTTCCTGAATCAGGGGGAGGGGGGTAGTAAAATAGCCAGTGGTTTTTCAGTAAAATATTACTATTTTAAAAATATTCTTATTGTTTTAGGTTCGTTATGAACTTCCAAACAGGAGATCAAGATACTAAAAACATCGCATTTCATTCCTCGCTATACGTACAAACAGGTGAAAAATTTTCTATTGAACACGACTTAGAGAAAGAACTACTTGGGTTCTATTAAAATTCTGTTACAGGTTGCATCGTAAGAAATAGTAAAGTAGATGGAACCTGGGGAACCAGCGATATTAGTTATATCTTAAAGGTTAAGGCAGGACAACAATTTCTGATAAACATTGCTGTTAAATCTGACGTATATGCTGTAAGTACTGCTTCTAGCTAAATGTTATCGGTTCAATTTTCATACTTTATTTAAATACGAAACAAATCTAACACAAGTATTCCATGCCATTAAGAATAGCTCGCGGCTGTATCTCGGAAGGTATTAAGCTTGATTTTTATGCATCCGTTATACGTTGATACGATTGTCCGACGGTGCTCTGATTGGTCATAGCATTTTCGCGCCACTTTTCATCCGTAAATATTTTACTTCAGCCCGTCAACGGACCCGTTCATACGATAACGGACGTTTTGACACTTTTTTGACAAATTTAATCTAACCTTAATAAAAATATAAGTAAAATCTAGTAAAATAGCAAAATCGTTATGGAAAGGAAAGTATGAAATAACACCAACGTATATATCCGGTAAACGGAGGCATGAAAATGCAAGAAATTTAAAAACTGCGTTGTTTTCTAACCAATTAAAATCTTTAAATTCTACCAATAAAATTCATATCGTATCAACGTATCGTCGGACAACGGATGCATGAAAATCAAGCTTTAGCCGTAGAGCCCTTCAAAAAAATATACAAGGTGTCAAAAAAATAGTGTATCTAACTTTGGTGGGTGATTATATAGATAAAAATAAAGCAAAAAGTTCCTATGAACATATACCCTAAAATGCTTCCCTATGCTATATGCTGCTAAAAAGTTACAGCAAGTTACAAGGATAAATAAAAATAATTATATTTTGTGTATTTTTAAACCGTTTTCCAGAAATTTGGTACTCTTACACATATTTTAATGCCTATTGTGAAAAAAGTGGTGGGGAAGGTTAGATCGGTGTTTTAAAAATCACTTTTGAAAAACACCCGGTATGTAACTATTAAAATATAATATGGTTATTTTTTCAGGTTACAATTAACAATGAAACCCTTTACGAATTCGCACACAGGGTTCCTTTGGATCAGACGGACCATCTTTTTGTATATGGGAATTGTACCATAGATTCAGTGATTTTTGAGTATTCGGAAACCGTTGGTAAGTACACCAAATAAACAACAATCTTCAAACAACCAACGAAAAATTATAAACCATAGGGTTTACAATAAGTAATTTTATTTAATTCAATTATCCCAATAAAAAAAAACATATTGTTGCAAAATGCCACTTTGGTTTGCAAACAAGTTTACTTAACCAAAAAATACTTTACAGTTGGTATATACAGGGTGATTATTAAATAAAGGCGAATATTTTAGGAGTGATATATTTCGACCCCAGCCAACGAGGTTTTTTTTCGCGAATAAAAATATTGGACATTTTCATTTTTTTTTTTTAATTTTTAGTTCAATGTGTGGATTGGGTGTAACTAAAGCATATTCCACCGCATTCAAAGAATAATCAAAATATATGTAATACATGACATTTGACAGTCAAAAATTCTAAAACGATTTGTTTTTCAGATACACGCATCCTGAACACCACTACACAATATTCCTACTCTAATGCCTGAAAATATGAAAATTCAGTATATATGTATTTACAGGGTGAGTCTTAAATAAGTGCAAATATTTTCAGGGGTGGTATATTTCGACCCCAGGAACACGTCTATGAGTTTTTTTTTCGCTAAAAAAAGATGTTGAAAATAGTGCATTTTCTTTTTAATTTCCCTGTATATTTTCGAAAACTTTTTAGAACTGCCTGTTCACCGCAAATTTTCCCACGGTATAATTTCTTAATCTCTGATATTACGGTTACGGCAATAAAAGGGATGCAAATACAGAAAAAATCCGGTGGCTCTCAAAATTTAAAAAAAAAACATTTTTTTTTAAATTTTCAAACTTAAATAATTTGGTTATTTTGGACTTATCTGAAAAATGATAAAGAGTAAAATAATTTTTCTATCAGCCCTGAAAATATTTGCACTTATTTAAGACTAACCCTGTATATATTTTATTATTAAATACTACTAGTAATATAATGTGTTTATAATTAAAAAAATTGTAAAATAAATAGTATATACAATAGCAAATATTATGTATAGTTTTATTAAGACGACTATTAAATCTACGCAGAATATTAACTACATCTTAATATAGTTTAAATTTGTTTGCAATGTGAAATATTAACCAAATGTATTACCTATTACCGGTAAATATCTATCAATAGAAGAGGAATAAACATTAGAGATAGTTTTAGTGTTTTAGTTGAGTGGTTCAGAAAGTTTTATTTTTTTTTACCTTTTGTCAATAATGACATGTATTGACTATTTCCATTCTAAATATCTTGAGAAAGGTTGCTCGTAACGATTTTGTAACGTTTTTAGTTCGTTACATGTCTTTTTTATATATGATATATATGATGTCTGGCGTATCGTCATCGGATTCCGTATCGTTTAGGCCTGATAATTTATTTGGCACGCTTGGCGTAATTTTTACGTTCCCTAGTCGCCAACCCTGTTATCGTTTGACACAACCCTGTATCGCTCTGAGGAGGCGCTGTCAACATCGCTTCTGTCAACTCTCTCCGTGCTTAACCTCACTTTGTTTTGGCGCTCTGTTGTATCCCGGCTTTTAGAAATGGTGATTAAACTAACAGGTAAAGATGAGATATTATCCTTTTAGATTCGACATTATTACTGCATATTTTTAGGGTAGAGTTTTGGATGTCCCAACTTAACTTGTATTTGTATTTTGCTGGCACGTTGGCGTCCCTTTTCTTTTGTCCTCCAGAATGTTACATGGAAGAAAGGACAGTTTCTTTGTTTTTTATTGAGCCCTCGGAAGTAATTCGAGGTAGCTTTATTTTGTTTATTAGACCTTGTTTGGTTTTAAACAATAGTCTCATATTTTTAGGGTCCAAGGTACGGACTATTTACAAGGTACGGGCATTATCCAAGGTCCTAGTAGTATCCAAGGTACGGGTAGTGTTCCCTTGTACCATTATCCTATGTACGGATGTCCTGTGGACGAGTGTCCACAGTAGAAGTGATTTTTCTTACATATGAAGTGCCCCAGCATGGATGTACCTTGAGCCCCATGCTGCTTCGTTCCCATCTATAACTTAGTATTTACGGTTGTATCAATTCATGGTGTCCTCATTCTGGCCCCTTTTGTTGTATTGGATGGCCGAGTACAGAGATGCGAGACCACCTCACGCTGTTACTGTTTGAAGCAAGATTACTTTTTACTTATTTTTATCTAGAGAATATGCTGCCGAAGTTTCCGTAATAAAAAACAGTGTGGACTACCCTGTAGAATAAAAAATCGCAAAATTTTAAAGGATCAAAATTATTGCATAAATAATTATTTCCCATGTCGTTTCCATATTTCCAGACATCCGCAACATAAATATCGATATTAATATATGCCCAATTTAAATCCGACCTCCGCTGATTTATTCGGCAAAAAGCGGGGAAGCCCGCGCGCGTTCAATTTTAATCGTAATCGCGTAAAGCTTAGCCGCGTCGCGCCACAAATTAACAAAAGAAAATTATAGTGATTAATTGACGGGCCGCGGCGCGCATAAACGTATCGCTTGTTATGCAACCGCATATACACACGCGGCACGCTCGGAATTTCCAATCGGTCTTTCTTTTTAATTGGGCGCGTTCGTCCATATAAAATCGCCAATAATTCGTTTTGATTTTCTATGCGCGAGGTTAATTTATGGAACGGGTTGCGTTTCCGATGCCACGAGCTCAGTAGCGGCACCAAAAGGATGGCTTTCTTATCCGATAGTCTAGCAGCTTTAAGAAAAGATATTGTCCTTTATAAAGCAATTTTTAAGAATGTCAACTATAAACTTGTGTATAGTGCTAATAATAAATTATAACAATTATTAGGTAATCCAAAGGATAAAACACCTCCACTGGAAAGGTTGGGTATTTATGAAATTTCTTGTAAAGATTGTTATCAGAAATATGTTGGGCAAACTAGAAGATCAATATTAACTAGATTTAAAGAACATTTAGCTCAGTTAAGATATGGTAGATCGGATAAATCTTGCGTGGCTGAACACATTGTTGATAAAGAACATTGTATAGATCTTAATAATTTAAAATTAATTAAACAAGTCTCAAATTACAGGCAATTAGATGCATATGAAAGCATCAGAATTAATAAATGTAAAGATATTATGAACAGAGACAACGGCCCAATTTGTTCAAGTTTTTTGTTCCTACTACTCTAGTGACGGAAATCTAACTGTTACGCTCAGTGGGCTCTGACTCGGTTGGCTAGATCTTGCCACGCCCACTCGGTGCCCACTGAGCGAGTATATAAACGCCGAAATTGTAGATTGTAGTTTAGTTTAATCATTTGCTGATGATGCTAACATGGTATATAACCAGGTAAATTTACATGGTAACAATAATAAACTATTTTACATTATTAGAAAATAGGTTCTTCAAGCAAAAACCTGATCTACAAATTGTTTCGTTCGACGATGTTTAAATCGCCAATATTTTATATTAAATTTTCTCACTACATTTCGGGCACGATGCCCCATGATTTATTTTACCCGATTTATATTCTTATTCGTTGTTTTTCTTTTTATTTTGACTGTTCAAATTAATTAATTATTTTTTCAATTAAATTTATATAAAATTGCGCATTATCGGCTTTTAATTTACTTGCAGAGGGTTTATAAATATAAAAGAACGGATCAGGGAAATAAAAATACTACATACCCATATTATCCCAAAATGTAAAAAACGAAATCAAGAAAAAACAAAAGAGAGACGCAGAAATCGTAGATTCTAACAGACACTCCATTAAACGACGAAATTCGTGCTAAAATTAACAATAAAAGAGACAAATTGGATTAACGAAAACTGATAACTCTAATACTGTTAATTTTTGATATCTCTCCATATTTAATTTTGTTTATTTTGCCTCTTGTTTAATATGCCTCCCAAAAACTAGATTTTTTTTACCCGAGGTAGTAGGACGAAAAGGATCATATGCAAACTGTCATTAAATCATATCTCTGTTGCAGAAACGCATATTTTATGGCAACCAATGTAGAATATATTAAATATTCAATGTCTAATCTTCTTAAATTTAATTAGATAAGTGTTATTATAAACCAACTTTTTTATAAAATGGAATTACACACATTAGTTGATTAAAGCTGCCCGACTCTACCCACTAAGTAAGAAGAATCTTTAGATTGTCCCGGGGTTTTTATCAGGACGCTGTCTCCCCAATGAACACCTCAGTAGATCGAAGTTAAGAAACAACGGCGAATGCAGATTCTGTGGGAGAAATGGGGAAACACCGAGTGCGCCCAGAGACGACAACCATTCAAACTTTGGTACGACTGATATCAGAGATGGAGAACTAACCTCTGTAAACGTCCTGTGAAAAATACAAAACTTTTATCATTTTCGCGAAATATACTGATAGACGTGCTCATGGAATCGAAATATACCACTGCACAAAATGTTTGCACTCATTTAACATTCCCCCTATAGGAAAGGAGTATCCACAAGCTTACAATACAATCGTAAGTTTGGATATTTAATAACATCACAGGAACGTTACTGTTGAGACGTTACAGAAAGTACAGCTTCAAGAAGTACAGCTTCAAGAAGTTTGTTCAATGTTTTTGATAAGAAAATACTTTTAGAAAGATTCGTACAATATTATAAAATGTTGTTTTATATTGAAATATTTGAACTAAAATGGTCAATCTTTTTTGACTATTTTCTCCCAATCTCCCAATAATACCATCGCTGCCACTGGCCAGCTTCCACATTAGCTCGATCAATTTTTTTTAAGGATCGCGATTAATATGATAAACGACTAGCCGACAATATCATTTTGTTCTGCGATTTGAAATAAAAATGTAATGTAATAACGATGTCACACATAAAGTGCACACTAAATGGGAATTTATATCGTCGATTGTTTTTGGTTTTGTACTTTTATTGCTTAAAAAATCGTGTTAATTTATACTGTTTGTTAAAATGTCCTTTCTTTTTAAGCATCATATTTGACATTTGTGAATGTAGCTTAAAAAAGTATGGCCAACCCAGAATCCTTCTGCGGCGTTGCAAAAGCAGTCACGAGAATGGCCACAAAATGGTGGGTGACCAACAAATCTCTAGTATGGTGGAGACATTTTACTACTACTACTGCCATTACTGGCTGACGAATATTTGACACGCATCAGAAGATGGTTACACAAGGCGTTTTCTTTCATAAGCGTTCCTGTGACTGAAAAGCCCGATACGTGATGTTATTTGCCTACCGCACTCCGGACATTCAAAAATATCATTGCTTTGTTGCTTCTTTACTTTTTGGTTGTCACTGCTAACTGAGTTACAATTCTTCTCCATTGAGTTCTATTGTGAACTGCTTCTTCCGACTCATTCTGCATGTTAATCCTCTTTAAGTTTTCGTGGAAAATGTCCTTTTACCTTTTGAGTTGTCCACTCGGCCTCCTATTACCGTCTACAAGCTCACCGTAAAGCAGAGATTTTTGTAAGCGGTTTTCTTGCATTCTGCATACGTGACCAGCTCATCTTAAGCGGGATTTGTAACCATGATTCCAATACTTTCGCAGTTAGCTTTTTCAAGAACCGATACGTTTGAGACATGCTGGAACCACCGGATTCTTAAGAGTTGTCTAAGGTGTCTCTGTTTTAAACTAGTTTAATGCGTTCATGTGTCGGCGGAACGGCATTCAGGTTTTGCTCCAATATAACATGGTGGAGATTATAATTGCTCGGTACACTGCAAGTTTCGTTTTTGTACTCAAGTCATGATTGTAGAAAACCCTCTCTTTTAATTTCCAGAATGCTCTTGAGGCGCTGCTAATCCTGCGTTGAATTTTAGAGTCGATATTGGCCTTTAAGGAGAGATTTACCAGAGCAGAGACAACCGAAAAAGTTCATAGCAGAAAATTAGCCAAAATTCACGGCAGAGATAAGCAAAGACAGAAAAACATTCAAAGCTGTAGTCGGTCTACAAAAGAGGCACCTAAAGTCAGTGACGTAACTTCTGGCTGATGATCAAAGGTGTTAGATGGAACAAGTGGAGGGCCTGCTTAGTAGAGGGCTTGCGAGGGGCCAATTGCATGCCTTACAAATTCAGATGGAACGATTTATGTACCGAACATAGAAACTACAATCAAAAAGTAGAGATTTTCTAAAACTACACATAGTACACCGAGTAGTATACATTAAGATCATACCAAATGAACTTTTAGTCGCGTGATTAAGCTTGACCGGCACCAGCACAGAAACAAAAATAAATTAGTTATAAATATATAAACAGTGATTATTATCACTAAAAATCACCTTCTTAGCAGCACTTAACGAAAATAAAAGGCCATTACTACCGCTTTCCCAGTCAAAATAATCTAATAAGGTTGTGATGAGTTTATGCAACGGCTATTAAGCGTGTACACTTCGCACTAAAAAAGGTTCTAAAAAGAATGTTCGACTGCAAGGTCTTCTAGTAATTTTTTTAAGCTTAAAGTACAACACAAGTTAACTACAACACAATCCATTTAAACTAAAAATTCGTAATACCAAACTAAAGTGTCAAAACGATTGACAATGTCAGGAAATAAATAAATAAATGTGGCAATATTATACCTATTAGACAGTGATGATAACTACCGTAAATTATGAAAGGGAGATAATTCTTATATGTTTTCCTGTTAACTAAAATTTAGCAGCTACTAATAAGTAATTTTATGGATATTTGCAACGTAACCATTTTACATATGAACTTTTAATATTTACTTGAATAACTCTTAATTAAAATCCTTTTTTTATATAATTTGCGTGATCATATAGAGTCAAAGCGTAAAAGTTTTCATGTGTCTAGACGCGTTGATAAAATTTTATTTTTCTCTTACTAAAAATAAGTCTCCTACCTGAGTGTACAATAATTATTATTTCGCATGCAACTGCGGGTTATGAAAGAAAAGCAAACACGCTTGTAGCATTCTTTTATGTGTTTTTAATCTTTTTAATTAATTTATTTTTATATCCGTATGGACTTTTCGTTTTAAAAGCTATTTGTTTTTTATAAGAAAAACAAACTCATACACCAAGAAATAAAACACTTACTGTTGAATTTGCGCCATGTATATTGGAGGAAAATTATTGGGGAAAGGGGAACACACAATAGATCGGTATATCCTACATTCCACATTCTACACTCTACACTCCACACTCCACACGCTACAATTCACATTCTACAGTCTACAGTCTGCACTCTACACTTTACAGTCTGCACTCTACACTCTACATTCTACACTCTACACTCTACACTCTACACTCTACACTCTACACTCTACACTCTACATTATACACTCTATACTCTACACACTACACTCTACACGCTACACTCTACACCCTACTCCCTACACTCTACACGCTACACTGTACACTCTACACTCTACACTCTACACGCTACACTCTACACTTTACACACTACACTCTACACTCTACACTCTACACTACACATTCTACATTATACATTCTGGACGAAACCCAGTGCCTTTAACTTTATCTTTTTAATTCTCCCAAAGTTGTGCACTCATCCTGTATACCTGTATGTCTTATAATTACGAAAATTAAACTGCAAATATTTACACAGTCACTTTATTAAGTACAAACCAACCTTTATACGTTACTTATGCACCGACAACTGCAAATATTTAACTAAATAAATCAGACAGTCCCAAGTGATTCTCATATCTCGGTGCTTCCACTCCATCAAGGGCAATTTTTCCCTTAACTGAGCCGTGTACCGACTTCCTGATTTTCCATTTAGGCCTTTATATCCCTGATGGCGGTAGGGATCAAAGCGAAGGGATTGCAGTTGCACGCCAGCTTAATTTTTGCCGGCGATGAATCAAACATGACGCAGAACTATGTTTGTTGTGGTTTTCCTCTATCTGGAGGCTTTCCAATTGATGGTTTAATGGTTTAGAGCAGTGGCGTCGGTTTTGTCGCTTATCAGTGTGCAATTAGAATGCATATTATAATGTCGAATATAGTCTATAAAATAAAAAAAGGGGAGATTCGGCATTTAACGTTCTATGTAAAACCAGCTAGGTATTTTTACACAAATGAAGAAGAAAATTAAAGATAAAGGATTATACTACATCCGTATTGAAACACATTTTTAAACAACTTCTTTATTTTTAAGATTTTGATGGTCAAACAGTAACAAAATATTCCTTATGATTGGACTAAATTTTCTCGGAAATAAAGACATAATTTAAGATTCCGTTACAATATGGAAATAGAGATAAAAATAAAAATCTATGGTATTTTAAAGAACAGATCAATAATTTCATAGAAAGCTGCCAAAGAAATTGAAAACTTACGTTCCTCGGCATGTGTGAAAAATCGGCTTTATGAATCTCTGAGCTAAAATATCATTTTTTACAATGAGAAATGTGAATTAAAGAAAAAGTAATATGTTTATGTTACAGTGAAAGTCAGAAATTCAGTGATTGATAACATTTACTAGGTATATGGTATACAGGGTGCTACAAATTCGAGGTACGAGCATTGGTATCTCGGAAACCGTAATAGATACGAAGATGGTTAAATTGGAGCAGTTAGTACCAATGCTCGTACCTCGAATTTGTAGCACCCTGTTATATATATGGTATAAGTAAATGTGGTATTTTAAAGAGATTTGCCGACTTTTCCTAGTAATTTTTAACATCCATTAGGGAAAGTAACGTTTACTAAAGGTTGCCAGTAAAAGTTATTCTATTGTACAGGGCGTTTGTGGTGAGGAAGACTGTTGGTGGAAATTAGAACAAATAAAACTTTTAAGAATAGTGGATCACCTCAATATTCAAGCCGCTCCAAACTGCTTTTCCAAAAATAAATTATTCCGATCGGCTCTTTCTCTTACAGCCTCGCAAAACTCCAGACGTTTGTTACAATCTGCGGGAAAAATTTCTTGCGTGGTACTGATTTTGTAGGACTTATATCCATGCCTTTTTAAAACTCTGCGCACCGTTCGAGCATTGCAGCCAACTTGTTCGGCTATATTTCGGCTTGAACAAGGTTCGCTTGTTTCGACCGCGGCACAAATATTAATTTCCTTGTCGGGAATCACCTTCTCTGCGCCTTCCTTATTGTCACAATTTCTGAACGCCGCAATGCAGCCTGTTTGCTGAAATTTATGGACAATGTTGCGTACAGTTGTGGCACAAGGCACAGGGCGATCTTGAAAGGTGAACACATAACGCCCAATGACCTCTTCCACACTTGAGGAAATGTAAAACCATTTAACGATATGCACCTTCTCTTCGGTCGTATAAATTGCCATTTTTGAAACACTTAACATACACACCGAAACAGCTAGGCGAAAAGAATGATGCAAAAATAGTTTGGATCTCAGGTGATCTATTTCCTTTCCCCATGCACCCTTTCATCTACATAAAGGTGCGTATTCACTATCCGAGCGAACCGAATGGCGAACGGCCGCATGCATTCGGTTTGCTGTCCAAATATACCGAATTTCATTCCTTTGTTCTTTCGGATAGTGAATACGAACCTTAACATCAAGCACCGCCCCTCTCAATGCGTTCTCCCACCATGCTTATGCTTTACCTTGCCCACACCCGTAAATACCGGCAACACTGTATCGGTCGTACCGGCCCCTCGCCGGCCCCTTTTGATGCTGTCTCTCTGTCTGTCAACCGGTCATTTATATTATTCTCTGTCTTACACGTTAAAATCCTATACACAGTAATCAAATGACCAGGTCGGTATATCTTAAAACTACAATTTAATTCTTTAGTATATTTATTAAAAGTTATAGAAAATAAGGACATAACCTTCTGAATATTAGAAGAGAAAAAAAAAGAATCATATAAATAAACATTTTAAAGCATACAAATAATTTAAAAAAAAATTCATGAACATAAGATTACATATCGGTACGTTTTTTTTAAAATAAAGTTCTTCATAGTAGACAAAAAGCCGCTACTTCAAGCAAATCAAAACGTCAAATAAATTTATAGTCACTAGGTTCCTTAATATATTTTTCTCTTGCACACTTAACTTTTGCTATGATTTCATTATATTGCAAAAATGAAAAAAAAAACTCTATTACCTTCTTGCGAGTGCCTAGTTTACCTTAATTTTTCACAGAAAATTTCTTCCATAGGGAAAAGATATAGATCTTATATACAAGAAAATAAAATAGAGGAAAATAACCTATTTGCAAGTTATATTGATCTTTTATTTTTTCGGTATACAAATTAAAAAAAAACATTGTCACATGAGGTAGTTATAAAAAGAGTTGTTTTTCCTAAAAATTAGTGAAATGTGGTTGTGGACCACCGTGAGGAGGCCCATGATGAGGTGGAGGATGGTGGTGATGGTGACCTGGAAATGATAAAAACAAGGTATTAGGTAGTTAAAACCTACTTACTAATAACATACTATTAATCAAAATCATTTAATTTTAATCAATACATAAAATAAAGAAACAAAAAAAACATTAAATAAAAAAAGTCCCTTTTTAAATAAGTTATGTTTTTTGTTTATGTCTATTTTGTATTTTGAGAGCCACTCTTATTTTATATATTTACCTGGACCGTAATTTTCAAAAGTTACGCCATGGACTGAGCAGTCACCATGAACATAGATATGTGACACTTGATCAAAAGGTAATCTATGGGGGTACTCGCAGAAATACTGACCATTTATGTAGACCTAAAAGAATATAAATACATATATTTTTTTAGCAATTTGTATATCCTGAAAATTTTAATAAACTGACGTTTTATTTCGTTATTTTTTCCCAAATATTATATTAACATAAGCATAAACTTAGAAACTTAAATTTAAATGATTTAACAGTAGTGTACTCAATTAATGATTAAAATTAACAAGTTATTATTAATAAATAATAATTGGTTCGTAGTATGTCTGTAAATATAATACTCTAATCCTGAAGTTTCCTAGAATAATTAAACATGTATATGAAAACAGATAACAGCTGAACTAATGCCCAGTAGCAAAAAACCTGTCGAGATTAAATAATATCAATTAATTATTAATAAGTGTTGTTTGAAAAAGTAATAATCATATTTCATGATATAATTGGATTAGTTGAAGTTTTATTTTATTTTTTTACGTTAATAAACAGGGATTAATGTCTGATTTTAAGTTAAAACAAATCCTTAAGGACATAGAAAACATAGAGGTGCCCCTATGAGTCTATGCAGCCATTTTGAAGCCAATTTGTAGTTAACAAAAATATTTTACTGTGATGTAAAAAGTACACAATATTTATAGTTTCTTTTTATGACCGAGAAAAATCAAAGGTTTTCCTTGATTTAAGTAAAAACAATCTTCGGATTGTCACGGGGTTTCTAACAGGACACTGTCTCCTCAACGAACACCTCAGTAGGCTGAAACTGAGAAACAACGGCGAATGCAGATTTTGTGGGGAAAATGGGGAAACACCAGAACACCTTATCACTGAGTGCCGAGACGACGACCATTCGTGCCATGAACCTTGGCACGTCTGATGTCGAGGATGGAGAGCTGGCCTCTGTGGAGCCGTCTCAGATACTGGCTTTTCTTAAAGCCCTGAGACTGTATGATGAGTTTTAACTCGTTATAACTCAAGAAAGGGGAACACACAATAGATCTATAAGGTCGCGGTGATTAACTCCTTCTAAACATTCTACATTCTAGTTTCTTTTTTATACAGGACGATAAAATGGTATTTTATCGTCTTGTATAAAACAATATTTTTTCCATAGCGAGTTACGTTTGAAAAAATATTCAGAAATTATTATTTCAAGGAATTTATTACGAGTTGAAAAAATATTGTGCTGGGTTGGCGTTGGTTTCTATGTAATTTGAAAAATAAATGAAGCTGTCTATTTAGTTGTCAGTTTTGAGTCAATATTTCTTAATTCTCTTTCGTGTCGATTGCTGATTGAATTGCAGCCAAAAATGGATCAAAACGAAATAAGTAAATTACCAACAGATATTCAGGCTGAGGCGACAAACGCCATATCCAAACTACTTCCATTTAAATCCCGAATAACTTATGAAAAGGAATACAAAAATTTTCAAAAATGGAAGCAAACTATGGAAAAACATTTTTTAATCAATTTTTTCAGACGGTATCAGGTTTTTATGGGCACAAACTCTTAAACTTTAAAGATAGATTTGCATAAAAATTATCGAATTATTGGCTTGAATTCTACGAATATACTTTTGATTTACTTACAATATAACGGTGAGGTTCCACTGTTATACTGATGTCAAAGGGCTGTCCTTTGAGAATAGGGAGGCTACCTTCTCCGATTTCTGCGTCCCAGTTTCCATGCCTGAGGGTGTTTCGAGCAACATATCCTAGAAACCGAATGATAATTAAATCTATTAACATTTTTAAAGACCTTAAAATATTTATTTTTAAAAGACACACAAAAAAGTATTTTTTATACTTAAAATTTATTAAAATTATTTTTCCATTGATTATTTAATTTTTAATATAACATTTATCTATTAATATAATATCTACCTAATAGTATACAGGTTGTTTCAAAAAACATGTGCCATCTCTCGTGAGGAGATTCCCCACGTAAAAATAAGATTTATTTTTCATATCAACATAGGTCCGATTCTGCTTTCTTTCATAGCTACAGGATGTTAAAGTCTTTATAATTTTTCGATTTATTATAATTTTCTTCCAAGTACTTTAAGTGATTTGAATGAAATTTTGAGGGTAAAAGTTACTATAAGTGTTACATAATTTAATCTTCGCCTAGGAGATGCAAGACCTTGTCGTTGGTGGGGAAGCTCCTGGTCAGGTGCTGGGGGGAATCCCCCCTAGCACTTGGCTTGGTCTAAGAAGCATCTCACTCATCGTCTTGTCCCTGACTGTAGTGTCGTGGCCAGGGAATTGCACCAAGACATATAACGATACCGGGCGGGGCTGGGCGGACAGCCTCAATCTTGGGGCATCGGGGGCACCCCATTGTATTTTACCCCTTACTTCTACATGCGGGGCTCTGTAGAAGTGGACCGACTGTCCCTAGCGACTCATGGGAACACTATGAGATCTGGTAATAATAGTAATAAAAACATCACCGGTGAAGCTGTGGGAAAACCCCCCAGCAACACTGGGAACAGTAACAATGAAAGTTCCAAGGGGCCAAACCCAAAGAGAACTACAGGAGAGGTGGCTGACACTTCAGTGTGAGACCACCTCTCCGCAGGTGGCATACAAGTTACCACCTCCTCCAAGGGTCGGGAGCCTACCTCCCTACCTCTAAACCCAACAGGCGACACAAGCTACCGTTTCGTCTACCCGGCCTGGGTCGTAGCTCCTCGACTGTGAAGGACACGGGTCTCCGTAGGAAGTCCTGGGACTGTATGATGAGTTATAACTCAAGAAAGGGGGACACAATAGATCTCTAAGGTCGCAGAGATTAACCCCCCTCCCACTTATTCTAAATTCTAAAAATTCTACATAATTTAATACTAAAAAAGTGTCGATAAAGTCATCAGGGACGTGCATATGTGTTATCACTGGAATATTTTTCAAAAAAAACATATGCGCCGCTGACTTTTTTTCTTTTGATATCAAAATTTAGTTCACCGTTTAATGTCAATTAAAAGTGATCTCTTGATATTTTGTCGAATTCGGCCTCCTTGATGAGATAAACGCAATTTTATTAAACACATTTAATAAAATAAAAATAAAAATAAAATTAATAAATTACATATTTTACCTAATTTATTATTAAATATTATTACTATTAATGATTATTACTATTAGTCCAACCTACATCAATTTCAAATAAAAAAATTATGGTGTTTAAGGTAATCACAAAAAACCGAATTTTAAAAAGTTTTAACATCTAGTATCTCTAAAACTATGCATTTCCATACATTCTAGTGATAACCTATATGCACGTTCTTGGTGAACATGGCGACAGTTTTTTACCCTTAAAATATGTCGCATTTATAGTAACTTTCACCCTCAAAATTTCATTTGAAATGCTAAAAGTACTTGGAAGAAAATTATAATAAATCGAAAAAATATTAAGACTTTACACCCTGTAGCTAGGAAACAAAGCAGAATCAGACCTCCATATCATGTTGATATGGAAAATAAATCTTATTTTTACGTGCGGAATCCTCACACGAGAGATAGCAGATGTTTTTTGAAACACCCTGTATATTTTTTTATATTTACTCTAGACTAAAATGGTAGAATTACTCCAAGATTTACTATTTGAAATCAAAGAACATAAGAATTGATGTAATATTTTAGTACTTATTTATGTATAAGTAGTATTTAAATTAATCAATTAAAAGTTAATTACCTTGATTTAACCTAACTGAAATGTGAAAAGGAATATCTCTTGGTGAGGGGTCTGGACCATTCTGCAAATCTACAATAAATCTGAAAATGAAAAAAAAAATGAGAATGTCGTGTTGCTCGTATGTAATTCTGAGTACTACCACAGGTACCTCGACGGAATATAGAAGTTACGAGGTAAATCCACTGTTTTATTTGGAAATACGTACTACATTTGAACATCAGAAGTGGTATTGGCCAACTAGAAAGTGCCAATAAATCCAGCAGTGTTAGTGAATAAAAAGACCAACAGGAATAGGTATCAACAGGAAAATTTGGAAATTGGCTATCACATAAAAATCCTTTGGAAAAAGAACACTCTACTTGAAAAATAGAAAGAGCCAGGGATGTTAGGATGTGCAAGATCCAAGCTATAAGACTATGATATATATCTATCTATGCTAAGATAGATCTTTTGTGTTTGTTTGACCATGTCGATATAAAAACTAAAGCAGTGAGAAACAAAGTCAAATTTCGGAGGATACAATTGAATTAGATAAGTACACAGATATCAATTAAGTTACGAATATAAAAGTTTTGGTTGTTTGCTTGTGATTTTGAAGTCGTGATTAAAGGTAATATCAATAAATTAAATTTGTAGAACAAAGAAATAAAAATAAATGGTTTAGATCAATTAGTTATAATGATATCATTATTATGGCGCGTTCTCACGGCTCGTATACTTGACAAACATTTGTAATTGGAATACAGGGTATACATGGTCCGTCGGGCATCTGTATCAGAATTTTTAAGTTATTTATTATAGGAACTACGCCGGATTCTCGCCAGACACTGTCTGCCAATAAAAAAATACTCGCCAAGTACATCCTAGTCGTGAGAATGCGCCTTAGGCAGCCTGTTATAAAAAAAATGTTTTAACTAAAATTGAAAACAAGCATCTTTTGTATAGTCTCATATAGTACATTTTTATTTTGTCATATTAAATAGTGAAAAGCTAGGTTTTCTCCATTTGTTTATATTAATCTATATTAAAGTAACACACTATTTTACGTTATTCTTAATCTAATTTTTAATTATGCTTTATCTTTATAGTACACAGTCCATTTACTTAACAGTGAATAATATGATCAGTCATTTTAAGGCTTGGCTTTAATAAAAGATTAAGTGATTATCATTAGGATGTAAATAAATTATGACATATTTAATTACATAAACAATAGATACGTATAATTTGATGTTGGTTTTATTTTTGGAAAAAAATTCAAAGAATTATTAATTTAGGTACAATTAAAAGTAATATTTTTATATCTTTGCTTAAGAAACTTATATGACAGTTAGTTTACTTATTCGGTATGAAATTGTAAACACATTTTGTTTATATTCATATATATTTCTTTTTCCTTTCTTGGGTATGAGGTTTTTTTTATTAATTGAAAATGGAAACTTTTTTTTTATTATGCAACGTTTGGCCTCATCATGGTGGGCTTTCTCAGGCACTTTATTCTTGAAGCCGCAGCCGCCTTGCTACCACCAGTCTATATAGAAGAATGTAAGTTAATTGTAAATCACTTTTGTGTGAGAACCAGCCCCTGGACAGCCCACCTGATAAAAGGTAGGCCCAGAAACCGGTTGTGGGAGTGGAGCTTGGTTCCCCCCTTTACGACAAGTAAAACAATTTTCTTTTTACTTTTTATTTTTTTTTAATTTTTTCTCTACTTTCGATTTTTCGAAATTAGAAAAAATACACAGCTAAAGGCAAGAAAATATTATTTATTAATATACACTAAAGCTGTAAGAATTTTGTTCATTTCATATATATATATATATATATATATATATATATATATATATATATATATATATATATATATATATTTTTGGAAAAAAAATCAAAGAATTATTAATTTAGGTACAATTAAAAGTAATATTTTTATATCTTTGCTTAAGAAACTTATATGACAGTTAGTTTACTTATTCGGTATGAAATTGTAAACACATTTTGTTTATATTGTAATATTGTCTATTATCATGAAATCATTCCAATGTTATGTCAAAAATGACATTTGCAGAGCAAAAGATAATTAGGTACCTACATAGTATGTATTTTTCAGCATCAGTGCATATCTATACAGGGTGAGTCTTAAGTAAGTGCAAATATTTTCAGAGTTGGTAGATCTCAATAAAAGAAATAAGAAATATATTTTCTCTTCATCGTTTTGCAAATAAGTCTTAAAATAACCGAGATATTTTACTTTGAAAATTAAAAAAAAAATTATTTTTTGCTTAAATTTTGAGAACCAACCATTTTTAGATATTTTCTGGGTTTTGTTCCTTGTAAATTTAATTTAATAGCATATTATGAAGATATTATTTTTTTAATAAAAATTTAAAAAAAATCCAAATTCTTTCCAAAAAGTTGCAATTTTTTTTTGCAAATAAAACCTCATAGATATGTTTCGGGGGTTGAAATATACCACCCCCAACAATATTTTATTTAAGATTCACCCTATATATGTATGTTTATTTGTTTATGTTGCAAGTTTTGTGTGAAACTTCATGTACCTAGTACACAAAACTTATAATATATAGTGGGTATTCTATTTAACATAAATAATTTGGCACTTTGGCAACACATTGGCTAAAACTGTTCAAGTTCTAGAAATTGTACAATATTAAAAAAATGAAATAAACTTCAAATTTTATCCTAAAAACCTTTAATGAATCAGTTGCATAAAAAAAAACCTATATACATGCTATTTTTGGCACTTTGGCAACACATTGGCTAAAATTGAAGTTCCAGATATTGGAAAGTATTTAAAGAAATGGAAATAAACGTGAAGTTTTATCCTAAAAACCTTTAATGAATCTTTTGATCTAGATTTAAGGTTATAAATTTATTTTAGAAAAATAATATTTATTTTTGTAGGTATACAAAGAGAGATTTATTTCTAAGTATAGTTGGAATCAAAAAGACACACAGATTTTGAAGTATCATAATAAAGTATTTCATACCTATCCCCAGTAGGATGAGCTTGTCCTCTGACTCTGATGGTTAATCCAGGACGCGGACCTCCAGGTATGACAGAAAGGTGGGCCATTTTATTTAAACAAAATTACTCACACGTACAATAACAATTACTAACGACAGGTTTAACGAAAATTTATTTTTATACGCTGCTTATCTTGGTTCATGTTAAGATAAGTTGTCCTAAAATTAAGCGATTTTAAGAATTGTTGATTCTTGATTAACGGATGTCTGAGATAATTTTGGAAATGGAAAAATGATCTAAGAGGTTTTAACCAAAACGATACCGATTTAATAATTGTGAGAATCGTATTATTGTGAATTGATAACATCGACTATTGACATTGTTTACTTCCTTTATCTATATTGCTCTTTAGTTGAGCATAGTAATATACATAACGAAATAGTAAAGTCTAAAGGTAATTACTTCCTAACTGTTTTTACTAACTTTGAAAATAATAAATCTACAAAAATGAATAACAATTAAATTAATAAAAATAATGCCGTTGACGGTGTTACTGTGCTAAAAAAACTATATTGTTCTCGAAATAGCTAAGTTCAGGCATCTTAAATAACTTTGAAGTGGAACTTCTTTACGCGCGATGGGAATAAAAATCCAAGGCCGTGACACACCACGGCCTTGACACGACATGGCCTTGACCATGCCTTGACGCATGAGCTAGCGAGAAAAAAAAGTGGTAAGGATCGCGCAAACACCAAAAAATATTTGAATTATAGCTAAGAAAATCATTATAATAAACTTGATGCTGTATCTGGGTACCAATATCCTCTGGTACTGTGCTAGGAAGTACATTTTATGCATATTATCATCGATAGGTTTGTAGCTTCTGAATAAGGGTCTAGGTAAAGTATTTAACTCATTTGCTACCTCAGAATTAAGATTTTTTAAAAATATATACAGGGTGTTTCGAAAAATCTGAGCATTGATTAATCACGATCCTGCTTAAAGCGCTTGATGTAAAAAGCTGATTTTTGGAAAACGGATTGACTTTAGGGTGTAGAGGTTCGATAAGAAGGGATTTCTCGAAACTTGAATTCTAAGGGGGCGAAACCACCCCTCAAATATTAGAATATTTTTATTTAAAACCGGTGAGTTTTTCGGAGAAACTCTTAAACACGTATATTTTATTTTGTTGTTTTACATATTTTAAGATTTTTTAAAAATTTAAACAGGGTGTTTCATAAAATATGACCATTGAGTAATCACGATTCTGCTTAAACTGCTTGACGTTTAAAGCTGCAATTTTTGGCAAACGGATTGACTGTGGGGTGTAGAGGTTCGATAAGGAGAGGTTTCTCGAATCTCAAATTCCAAGAGGGTGAAAACGCCCCTCAAATATTACAATATTTGTTATTTAAAAAACGGTTAGTCTTTTGGGAAAACGCTTGCACACGCATAATTTATTTTGTTTTTTTACATATTTTGAAATTTTTTAAAAAATCATACAGGGTGTTCCAAAAAGTTGAATAACAGATTAACCACGATTCTGCTTAAACTGCTTGACGTAAAAAGCTTATTTTTGGCAAACGGATTTTTCGATAGTCAAATTCCAACGAGATGAAACTACCCCTCAAATATTATTAAGTTATATAATAATATCGCCATATTATTTTTTCTCATGCTGACATAAATGTGAGAAAATTTTATCCCGTTTGTATGTTAATGGAAATTCTTGCTTTGCTTTATCATCACCATTACAAATGATTAATTCGACGCGAACGAAGTCGCGGGTACACGCTAGTTGTTAATAATAAAACTCTGAGTATATTTTAAAGAATGAAGTTTTTATTTTTTCAATATAACATTTTACGGAATAGTTAAATCTGTTGCTAGATAATAATAGGTACTCTTTAATTATAAAACGCTCCGAATTTATGTAATTTTCAGACAGCAGAATATAAATACTCAGTTGTTGTGGTAAGGAAACGTTGCTCTGAAGCTGAAAAAATAGAACTTCTCTGAAAACTATATTTAGAAATAAAATATTAGGATAAAAGACAAGCAGACAATATAGTAAAAAAGATTTTTTAATTAATTTTTTTTCTTCCTTAAGTAAAAACTTACGTTGTCTGGCTTTAAACGTAACAGATTCTACAGAACAGTCACCGTAAACGCTAAGATGGCTCACTTGGTTCAGAGGGATTCTGTGTGGGTACTCGCAGAAAAATTGACCATTGATTGACACCTAGAAAAACCAAAAAATGTTTTTTTAAATTACTTTTTAGTTATCTAATTTTTCAGTTTTCTAATGTTTATCTTTCATTTACAAACAGATTAAAAATAAATATTATCTAATAATCTGTATAATTTATCTTATCTATTTATTAAGTAAAAATAAACCTATTATTCATGTATCTGCTGATGCCAGTAATATACAGTGTGTATCAGAATATATTCAATAATAATAAAAATATAATCACTTGCTAAACTAAGCCACAGAAATGGGACATAAATATTACTTACAACATATTTATCAACTTCAACAGAAATATTTATCACAAATCTTTGTCCCGGACGAAGGCTTAAAGATCCATCTCTAGCTTCTGTATCCCAAACATTATTGCTTTTACTGTTTCTCACAATTACACCTACAACATAAATTTAATTCAAAATCTCTGATAATTAATATAGAATTATTTAAAAATAATTTACAATTTTAGAGACTAATAACTGCGGTATTTATTTTAAGAAAAACAATTTGTGTACCTTCATTCAGCCTTACGGAGCAATGAAAAGGAATATCTTTAGGGCCTCTACCCTCCCCAGTTTGTAGATTAACTCTAAATCTAAAATATAATAATTATTTAATTAATACTAATAGTTTATAAAGTTTATATTAATTGTAATACTAATTAGACTAAAGTAATGTTATAATGAACTGGTAGACAGAAAAGACATTCTACTAAATAGTACAACACTAGAAGTAGTGTTTAAAGGAATTTTGGAGTAGAAAAATATATATATTTGGGATTAAATTAACAGAAGAATTAAGTTAAGTAGAGGGAGATGACCGATTCTACATTAGGAGGAGCAGGAGGAGCAAGGAGCAGGAAGTGACGTAAATTGCCTAAGAACATGCAAAATAGGCTAGTAAACAAGAATAAACAAATTTGAACACAAAACAACCGCTTTAAAATAGAAATAATAGATTTGAACAAAAAATGAACAGGTCTGTTGTTTTTAAGCTAAAAAGCGGTTCAAAGAAGTTCAAAAGCGGTTCAAAGTGATTCAAACCAGTTTATTCTTGTTTATTAACCTATTTTACATGTTCTTAGGTGATTTACGTCACTTGCGGCTCTTTGATCCTCCTGCTCCGCCTGGTGTAGAATTGGCCATCTCCCTCTAGTAAGTTAACATGGAATACTTATGCACTGTAAAAAATTAGCCTGACTGAACACATATTTCTCAGGGAGTGAATTTTTTGAGTGAAATAATTGAGTACATATTCATCTAAAATAGAGTAAATTCATCATTTTACTCAAATATGATCTCTATTTAATCAATAGCGATTGAATAAGGTTAATAATTAGAATGATTTTCAAACTGAAATACGGAGACATTGTTAAATGCAACTTTTCTAGACGTCTAGCATTAAAAGTTCCTGTATTTTTTCCAAAAACAGTCGAAAACTTTTTAAAATGTTTTTGATATTATAATAATAGTGTTATCGGTTTTGTTTGTTTTTGTCAAATAAAAATGACAAATAAATATATTTTTGAAGGTTCTACAGTTTTTCGTTTGCTTTGTTAAAAAAAAGAAATATTCTAAATTATTTTTTTAAAAGCTATATGTAAGCTAACATTTTATTTTATTACAAGTGAACAGACCTCGGAACAGACGCTTCCCAAAAGTGAATTTTAGGAAATGGGCATGTTCGAGACCATGTCCTAAACTGAAACTTACCTTTGAAAGGCACCTGCCCACCTGTTATAAAATAACAAGTTAGCTTACATATAACTTTTAAAAAAAACCGTATATCAATACTGAGTGAAATTAATACTCAGATATGAGTACTAATCGAGTTAAGTCTAACACAAATTTGAGTAAAAGTCACTCAATAAAAGGTGTACTTGAACTCAACATTTAGGGAGTTCACTTATTTTAAAGTGAATAAATCATTAAAATCGATCAAAATCCTACTAAAGGGGAACCATAATAAGTAAAAAAGGAGTCTTTCGTCCAATCCCGATTGAGTGAAAACACTCAGTGCTTTTCATTCTGAGAATTGGAGATTCACTCAGTTCTGCAGAGTGGAAATTTTACTCAATCGGGTGTGGACAGAAATTGAAAAAGTATTGAGTGAAATCTGAGCGAATTTTCACTCATTTTCTTTACAGTGTGGACAAAACTCAATCATATTCAAATATAGACTTTATCCACTTTATCCAAAGAAGAAAACATTCGACCCATGTGTATTATCCATGTGTAGTATTTATCTCATTTGACTCATTGTACTGCAACAACTCCAAGATCCAATTTTGCAGCTGTTTAATATACTTATATTATATATATTATAATAAAATAATCATACGATTTGAGAAACAACCTGATTACAGGAAATACTTTGTATACAGAAGAATCTGTTTTAAATTTCCCACAAGGTGGTTTGAAATTATGCCTGTATAATATTGCCAAAACAAATAATTTTATATTAATACTGACTTTTCCCCTGTTGGCTGGACTTGTCCTCTGATGGTTATGTTTAGTCCGGGTCTAATTCCATCAGGAATAGCAGAAATATGGGCCATGTTTTCCTTATTTTTTATTATTGACTTCAATCAATCGCAAATACAATTTTATTGAAACTGTGAGAAAATTACTCGTTTTTTGTCTCCTTATACTTCATTTATCGAAAATCCTAAAAGATAAAGTATATTTTATGGCCATTTATTAGTAAGGATAAAACGCTTTAGATTAAACCGTCAAAATTTACACGTTTTTGTTTTTTAACCTGATATTATCTTCTTCTAAATATAGTGCAATAATTTTCTATACCTTAAAAAAGGACAGGTGTGTTTCTTAGGTATGTAATAGTAAATTATTTCTAAAATACAAAACACAACACTAAACAAGTAAAAAAACTTGTGGCGCATATTATAAACTATAATACAGATCTCTATTATTCACTCTTTAACATGCATCTCCGGGGTTAAAATGTAATAATGCCCATCGTGAGGCATTATCATTCTATTATAGATGATAATGTATGATAGAATGATATAATAGATCATAGTGGCGGCCTTTGGTGTATAAATAAATATTATGCACCAAAACAATATCGTATACTAACGATTGTGCATACAAGATTTTTTTAATTCAAGTTAGTTTCAGTATTTTGTGATAATTTTTAATAAATTTTATTTATTATTTTTATATATTCTCACTATATTATCACTTTCCTTATAAAACTACAGGTTCTTGTTCTAAAGGTTTCATAGTAAGGTTTTATAAAGGTGTTCACATCTATTTCATATAACTTCTGGTATTAGGTGTTATAAAGGTACGCAAGATATACACTATATAACTAAAGGTGTTATTAAGAACCATTATGTAACCAATAATACCACAAGTTATATAATCCCTGAAATCGTTTTTTTGCACCTTTCAAATGTTTGCATGCTTTATATAACCTGTAGTTACCGAATATCAAACCTAATGATATAACCTCAAATTTTTAATATAATCAAAACAAATAATATATTAGCAAGCAAAGCAATTCGGTATTATAATGAATAATAAAAAATAAACTGGACAAAACACAAAAATACATCTACGTTCAAGAGAAGGTTCTTCAGAATTTAAAAAAATAGGAATAATCCAAACCTCATTCAAACTACATCTACCAATATTGAAAGCCAACATGCAAATTTACCATCCACAAGCAGAGATCAGGATCAACCTGAGATATTTCCAACGGAAAGTTGCCAAAACAATCAGGAACAGGAAGATGCCTGGTTAAGGCATTCTCTAACATAAGAGAATGAGCTTTGCGCTTTAACATTACACATTCTACACTTAAAGAACTATTTTCTATAGTCAATTAATTCATAACTGTTCTACCAAAGGACCCTAGAACTCTTTTGCAAACTCCTACCACTTTAAATATAGATCAAATTGTACCAAAACAGTATTATTTCAATTTTATGAGGTTATGCTTTTTTTTCTGCACATTTTCTGTCAAATTGCTGTAATGTCAAAAATCGTTCGCAGGGAGTCGCTACAGTCGACACCACGGGTTACATAAAGGTTTTCTGAGTAACTAAAAGTAGCCATAAACACCTCGGCATTTATAATGGTAATTTGTATCACCTTTAGTTGTATAAAACACTAAAATTGGTGTTTTAAATAACCCAAACTCATTTACGCAACCCCAAAGTAACCAAATTTATATAATGGTTGATGAATATGTTATAGACCCTAAAGTAATATATAGCACTTATATAATGGACGCCATTATTATTGATGTCTTCATTTTTGGCTACAATGAGTATTTCTAAGATAACGTTGAAAACTGGTACAAAACTATATTTTGGCCAGTTGCCAGTTATTTCTATGTATTAAAAAAGTCGTATGTTCTATTATTTGTATTAATAAATTTGACTTTCATTACAAAAATTTTACCATATTTTTTCTGTTTATAAAAAAATCTATTAAATATATCTGCTTTTGGGAGCGCATGTGTTTTTTGGAGGTAAAATTGATTTTCACACAGTAAATTTAATATCGCATATGTATTTAGTACTCTGGCTAGGCACAATAGACTTTATTAAGCCAGTAATTTCTATAAAGTCATTTGCATAACGCAAACGCTTTTGTAGGCTATGACAGGGATGGCGTCATTTTGTCTCTTTTGTTTCTGGTCTGGATTATCTGCGTAGGACAACTTGGAGCAATAAGATCATATCTGCTTTTTATGTTAAAAAAGAGGCAAATATTAAAGTAGTTATTCAGAAAGAAACAAGTAGATTTTTAAAAAACGCGCATGCCCGATATTTCTATGGAGGTAGTCTCTGGGAACCTTCTCAGCACCACTATATAACTAATATATACCCTTTTTCAGTTTTATAGCGGTAACTCGATAGGATATATAAAGGTGTTGAGAAAGTTTTCAGGACTTTGGTTGCACACCTTGAGTGTTAAGGGTTACCATAGCAACAGTTATAAAATGGACCGTTTAGGGCATATAAGTGTTATATAATGGTTACGAATAACTCACGACAACCATTCTAGATGCGTTTAGGTTGTATAATATGGTGTTGGGTAGTTTCCTAACACACTTATAAAACAAAAAATGCTTCTTGGGAGAATAGATATAGAAAATTAACAGAGATAGCTTGGCTCCACATAGTCAACAATAGAAAACAAAGAGGTATTACAGGTAAATTACCCAAATTACAGATAAATTATATAAATATGTAAGGGAACCTACACCATTATTGAAAATAGCTAAATAAACTGGAAATGATGATTATGACGATACAAACCTTATAGACATATTACTTAAAGTTTGTCTAGTGGATCTGTGCCTATGAAAGAAATGCGGACACAAAACATTTCAATAAACAGCAATGTATTTTATAAGTCGCTACCTAAATAGAAGCTGGAGAGGGTCTACGTGGACTTGACGAGTAGGACACCGCAAGACACTCCGCCCACTCATTTCATTGGCTACTTGCAAATATGTCGAAATTTTATTGATGGGACTCGTCGTCTAATTTTTTACGAGAACATTGAAAGAATATCGTTTCCCCCTTTATGGATGCCCCAAATTTTGCTACAAAACGGATAGACATACTGTATATGATCTAAGACATGGTTTGACAACAGACTTAATGTAATCTTTAGGATTTGATAGTGTCATTGTCCCAATTTCACGACTTTTATAGATACATTAAACAAGGAGTTCAATCAATAAATCTATTCGGGTGGTTTATACTCTGAAAAAAGGTTGGTAGAGAGTAGACACCTCAAAAAAATTCTCTCCAAGTATGAGCTCTTAATTTTAAGAGGAAGGTCCTTCGCCTTTCAGTTTTCTATGTTTTCCGTGTTATTAGAAACAAAAATTCATATCTCGGTATTTACTGTTTGGAAAAATATCTCGTTTCACATCTTTATAGAAAATTGAATTCTCTACAGATCGGTCTAAAGGTCTCTGACATTTTTTTTTGTAAACCTTACCGTTCAAAAGTTATTAAAAGTTGAAATTTGATTATTTTTAGGCAGATTTCTTCTTTCTTATGAATTTTATAACTCGTTAACAAAAAATCATTATTATACGTGCAACTCATGGTTTTGTAGTAAATTCACTGTTTTACAAAAATGGTTTCTTATGATTAGTCGATTAAATTAACCGTTTAAAATATATTCATCGTCAAACTTTCATGCACAATAATTTTAACGGTTTTTGATTAATAATTCGAAAGTACGAGACGAGATATGTTTTCCAAATAGTAGATGACAAGATATGATTTTCTCTTTCTAATAATATGGAAAAAATAGAAAACTGAAAAGCAGACGACCTACCTATTAAAATTAGGAGCTCATATTTGGAGAGAATTTTTTTGAGATGTCTACCAACATTTTTTCCAGAGTATAAAATGAATAAAAAAATAGGTGATTTTTTGACCCATCCTAGTCTCTATTGTTACGTTTTTCGTCGGTTCCGTGTGGATAGAAAGTCACAATTTATTTAAACACTATTTATTTAACACTAATTAACAAAAACAATAACGATAAAAGACTTATAGAACTATTTACAAACGATTTATAACTAAGAATTTATTTTGAATTTTAGCGCGTCAACTGCACTGGTATATTTATAACTGCGCTCTGTAGGCCACAGTCGCCGGCTTTTATACCGACAGGTAAAGAACCTCTAGAATAGTCCATAGATCGTTAGGTGCATAGAGAAGGTTTCGATTGTTCTCGTATGTACTACTCCATTCCAGTAGAACTCGATACTTCTCGAATCTTCGAATGAATCATTACGGTGTCTATGCGATGTTAAGGTCATCCGAGGGCGGGCCATATTGTTAGGTTAAGTCGAGTCCACACCGGTCCGCAACACTGCCCCCTTCTTAGGTACATGCTCGTCCCGAGATGTACACGGTGAATGAAGGTATTTGCAAAGCTGGCCCCTGGTACATTGCGAAGTCTGGAAGAAATAGCAGTCTACAGTTTTCTCTCCCGATCTCAGCTTTGGGTTGTAGCAGCAAACAAGGATCTCGATTCCCGTAAATCTGAACAAGACTTCAATCATGTTCCGGATTGTACGCCAACTCAAACCATCGAGTCCACACGCCAGCTTCGGTATGGCTAATCGTGTAATGATGTTGTTTAGCAAGGCTTCTCTGAGTTCAATCAGGGTGTTCCATAGATTGAGATAAGTCGGCTTACTCGGCGACCATTCCTTAGTGACTAGGTAGAAGATGTGTCTTGCTTGACCATGTGCATTGTCGGTTAGCCTCAAGACGCTTCCAACCTCTGGATCCTGTCGGCGTAGTTCTCTGACACGCCCAAACTTCTCATTGAACGTCGCAGCGATTCCTCTGGACATCCGCAAACCTCGGGCCACACAATGAGCGAGCGAATAATCAGGAGGCACGGAAAAGAGGTCTCGTTGATCTTCTTTGGTTACACCATAGCGAGCCTTCTCACTGCTGTTGTATCGGGCCATGAAATCGTCAAAGGACATCTCCGAATCAGGGGGATCAAAGCTGCAGGTTCTCACGGTCCCAGCACGATCTTCTATTTCGCCTTGGTAGGGGCTCAAACGGTTGAAATGGACTACCCTCGGTTTTCCTTTTGGCAATTTTCTGATAC